TGTATGGACCATCATCATCATCATCATATTCTTTTTCCAACTATTTGGGGGTTGGCTACATAAATCCTAGTTCGCCACTCTACTCTATCAATGGTCCTACCCTCAGTGAGGTCATAGGTTGTCATATCTTTATCACTACTTCTAACCATATACTTTTGGGCCTACCTCTTATCTTTTTTTAGCCTTCCACTCGAACCAACTCGCACCTCTTAACAAGTCTTGTATTAAGTATGGGTTGCACATGGTCAACCCACCTAAGTCTACTTTCTCTCATCTTATCACCTATTGGAGATACACCTAAGTTCTTTCTAATGTATTCATTTTGCATTCTATCCCTTCTTGTCTTGTCGCTTATCCATCTCAGCATCCTCATCTCAGCGACACTCTTCATACGGGTATGTTGTTTTCTGACAGCTCAACAATTTACCCCATAAAGCAAAGTTAGCCTCAACGTTGTCTTATAAAACTTGCCCTTCAGCTGCATTGGTATGCAGCAATCACATAAAACTCTTATTGCATATCTCCACCTCGCCCACCCTGCTCTAATTCTATGTGCTACATATTTCTCAATATCTCTATTATTTTGAATTATCGACCCAAGATATCGAAAGTGCGCTCTTTTTTATATTTCTTGGCTTTCAATCTTAACTACTTCATTGTCTCTACTCCTATTATTACTAAACTTGCATTGTACATACTCTGTCTTAGTCTGGCTGATTTTAAAACATTTATATTCTAGAGCAAAATGTATGGATATGAAAAAAAAAATTCAAATCCTAAAAATAATGCATCTTTTTTTGGGTGGTTCAGTGCTAGGAATCGAACTTGAGATATAACGTTGTTAAACGACAGCTGTTAAATACTCAAACCCAAGCCCAATTCCTAAATAAAAAACATAAAAAATTCCAAAAAATTCCATTTTACGTCCATGCCCATTAGAGAGAGAGAGAGAGAGAGAGGAAGCTACAAGGAGACAGAGACAAGGGCAAGGGCCATGTTTCCCTTGAGAGAGAGAGAGAGAGCTAGAGAGGGAGTGGAAGCTAGATAGATAGAGAGAGAGAGCGACAGAGAGGGGGGGAAACGGGTCCTGTTTACCCTACGAGAGAGAGAGAGAGAGAGAGAGAGAGAGAGAGGAGCTAGAGAGGGCAAAAGAATGGCAAAGAGAGAGAAGGGTAAGAGCCCTGTTGCCAGAGAGAGAGAGAGAGAGAGAAAGAGGGAGTATAGAATCTGGGGTTCTCTTTAACAACACATGTACTAGGCACTGAACACACAATTTTTACAAGAAATACTTTCACATGCAACTTTTACAACTCTTACTCATTGCTATAGCCACAATATTAGAACTTAGAATGGCTCAAATATCTTTTAAAATAAAAAATTTATGAATCTATGGTGTTCACAAGTCATAAAATCAAACACATTGCTCATATAGAAGCAAACTACACCACTTGGTACATACACTTCATACATGGACTGCACATACAATTTACTCGTCATAAACTAACTCCAAACTTTACATAATTCTCTTGATGACATGAAATATTAATAGACTCAAATTTATATATGCTACATTATTAAGCCAGAGTTAAGAGGTGGACATGAGTCGCGAAAATAAGAAGCGGTCCTAATTCTATAGAGATGGTAGGACACATTCTCATGCATATCTAATAAATAAATAGGTGAGAGAGTTAAATAGGGAATTATTTTTAAGATAAAGAGGAAGAGACACTGTATGTGCATCAAAATAGGAACATGTGAGAGAACGGAGGGAGAGAGAGAGAGGGAGAAAGAGTAGAAATGAATGGTATTACTAAAAAAGAGGAGAGAGAGAGAGAGTATATGTGACGAGAAAATCAAATAGATTGGTTTCCAAATTAGGGAGAGAAAAAAGAAAGTGATAGATTGAGATAGAGGAGTAAGTGAGAGAAGGAAAAGAAGGGCAAATCAAAGAGAGAGAGATTATTGAAGATTTGTCTTGAGTAAATATATAGGTTCCATTCTAATTTTAAATAAGGATGATATCCTCATTTATAGAAGCTCTACTTTTGTGGTGTGTGAGAGAGGCATGTGAAAGAGAGAACTAATATAAATAGTGAATGAGAGATATTCTAGGAGATAAGACATGTGTAAATATATTTATTTCTAGAAAAAAAAAGAGGTGAGAGATAGGAAAGATCCTCTATCTCATTTTCTTCCAAATTCACCCGCTATTATTTCTTCTTTTCTTTCCATAATTATCCATTGCAATATTTTCTCTTCTCTCTCATTTCAAAATTTTCTAACAATTTGCTTAATTGGCTGTAATTTTTCTTTTGCCTGATGAGGGCCTCTTCAATGTATTGACGCAAGTAATTAATTGAGGTGTGTAAGCTATATCCTTTATTATTATTATAAGTTGCTCTCATTTTCTTACTTTCTTTTTACTTTTTTATTTTCCTCATGCAAAAGATATTAATTTTCTTAATTATATGATGGTTTGGGAGGTTTGTGTATAAATTCCTATTATGTTTTCCTTTACTTTTAATTATATGGGTGGATCTTGATTATTGCATATTTTCATGTTCACTCTTTTTATTTGATTTGCAGATTTATATCAAAGGCGATATTTATTCTATGTATATTTTTGTGAATGTTATTGTTAGGGATTGGAAATGATAGTTTGCAAAGAAATTTAATGGTGACTCTCGGCATCCCATAAAAGACTACTCAAAGGTAAGTTGTGGTAATTTCATTTATTTATTTTTCCATTATCTCATTTTGTAATTTTTTCAAGTAATTTTCCCAATTTGTGAAGATCAACAAGCACATTCATCTTTAAATGGATGTAAAAAAAAAAATTTATTATCTTTATTTTAAAAAAAATTATTTATTCCTGTAAGGATTAGAGTGTTTGAAATTAATTTGCTTATGATCGTATTTTGAGGATGTTTTATTTTAAGTAATTGATCTGACATCTCATGATTGCTAATATTTTTCATCATTTATATATTTTCATTTCTTAAGTTTTTATTTTTCAATTGCATAAAATTTCATGCTTTTTCAGTTGATGCTTAATAGGGTAATACACACGTGTAGTTCCAAGATATGTAAAAAATGATTTTGATCTGGCATATCATGTTTTTTCAAAACCCTTGATGCTCATCATCTATGACACACGATAAAGCTTTGAGCCTAATCACTTATCCTTATTTAACCATCAAGATCATATGATAAAATTTCACACCTTTATCAGTCCTTAAAAATCTTAAATTAGGTTATTTTATCAAATTATCCTAAGTATGAAATAATTTTCATAAATGCCATTTAACCATTTCAATAGTTCCTATGGTTATTGTTTGATAATTACTAAAGAATAAAGAGGGAGGGGTGTGCCCCCTTGTAATTTCAAAATATCTTCTATTCATAAATCATCTCAAATGATTCATATGGGTTCAAGCTAACGAGGTGATGCCACATAGAAAGCTACTTTAAAAATCATTTCTTCCTATAGATTAGGGTTTAAGTTATAATTTCACAGTATACCCAAAACCCTATGCACATGTAGATAAGCCCACATGTGTGCTAAATTAATATGTTACTAAATAGTCACTTTAGTTATAAAATAATTTTCTTCATTAAAAATATTATAAAAACCAATTTGAATAAATAACCACATAACAAGGACACCCTCATTGGCTTTGATGTCATGCGGACGTCAACCGTGCCACTTGGGTGGCATGTAGGGCCTACACTAGATGTTCTCAAGTGAAATTTGTTTGAACAAATTAAAAAACTCCCATTTTTTACTCCGAAACAATTCCAAAAAGTCTCAAAACAAATCTCAAAATTATATAAATGAATTTCTATCACAAGTACTCATTGTGCATTAAACGAAAATAGATAGTTCGTAAATGAGATTTTTAGGTTGGAATCTAAGTTATTGGAGTACTCCATTGGCTAGTTCGAAATGACGATCTATTCTCTCCGAATGACCTAACAAGCCTATTCTCCGTAGTTTGTAGCAGAGATGATGGCTTATGAAAGTTACTCCAATCAATATTCCATCATTATCTGGTGTCGGTAGATTACAGTGCACCTTTGGGGACACAATAACACTCATATACATGGATTTTCTTAGGGCACATGTGCACATGCTCTTTTTAGTTGGTTCATATGTTAGAAGAATGACTTTCTATAGGACTGCAGTTTCATATGTCATAGGGTAGTCTCATGTCAGGGTACAGACTCATATCCCATGAATTATAACCATTTTATACAGAGCCGTTATACTTAATATACTTGAGTTCTAATCGCTTCTTGATTCTCTTAGCCCTGGCTAACACATCACCTATTAGACATATAATCCAAGTATATTACTGACTTGGAGGTGATACTCACATTTTTAAAAGCAATATCTCTCACCGGTATTTCTTATTATCTCTTATATACTCAAAGTATGGCCCAATGCATCAAGCACCTAGAATTATTATCTCTCACTTACTCCACTAAGTGAGGGAATATTAGATTTAAGGCTATGAAAGGCCATAATTCCAATATTGTTGCTCCTAGAAAAGAGAGAGAGA